ATTTTGAGAGGGAATTCACTGTCACCACTGATGCATCGGAGGTGTCAGTGGGCGCCATTCTTCAACAAGACTTTGGAGAAGGATTGCAGCCAATTTGCTATGAAAGCAAAAAGTTGAATCCGGCTGAATCCAGATATGGCGCCTATGAAAGGGAGCTTCTGGGCATTGTTTGGGCAGTTGGGAAATGGCGCCATTATCTGTCCGGACGCCATTTCACGGTCCAGACGGATCATGATTCACTGAAGCATTTACCTAATCAGCCAGCTGCAAATAGGCGGATGTGGAAGTGGGTCCAAGTACTGCAGAGCTACGATTGTGACCTGGTTCACATTCCAGGAAAACACAATCCTGCAGACTTCCTCTCGCGTCGTAGCATTCAGGATGTTAGGAGGATGATCAAGGTACGAGCAGAGGAAGAAGCATTGATCCGAAGACTGCAATTGGGGGAAGATAAATCGGACGACGCTATTCAAGAACGTCTGGATAAAATATTAGGGAAATCCAGACCTGAGATGGTCGAGGTGGACGACCAAGGCGAACCTGATGTGAAAAAGGCATTAATGGTTGCCAAAACTCGAGTGACGTTATCAGGAGAGTTGAAGGAGAAATTGAGGTCAAGCCTGGAGACAGACAAGCATTGGACAGAGATTTGGAAAGAGGTGGAGCATACCAATGCTATAGTGGATGCTGGAGGTCGTACTTACCGGAAGAATGGTGGATTATTGGAGATCAAAGATACATCGAAAGAGGGAGGAACACGCTGGAGAATTGTGGTGCCTAATGTGCCAGAGCTAAAACAGCAATTAATGAGGGAATTTCATGACGTCCCTTATGCTGGGCACCTAGGCTACCACAAGACGCTGAAAAATCTCCAAAGGACTTTCTACTGGCATAATCTTACACTGGAAGTAAGGGAGTTTGTCCTAAGCTGTCCAGTATGCCAGCAAGAAAAGCCAGAGCACCGTGTTCCTGCTGGACTGTTGCAGCCCTTGAAGTTACCAGAACAAAAGTGGGCCGATGTGAGCATGGATTTTATCATGGGTCTTCCTAGGAGCAAGTCAGGAAATGATGGAATCCTGACTGTAGTAGACCGTGCGACAAAAATGGTGCATTTAGCACCAGTTCGGCAAACAATCACTGCTGCCGAAACCGCACGTCTCTATTGGGATAAGGTGGGCAGATTGCATGGAATCCCACGCTCCATAGTGAGTGATAGAGACCCAAGATTCACATCCAAATTCTGGCAGGAGTTCTGGAAAATTTTGGGCAGCAAATTGAGGATGTCCAGTGCTTACCACCCTCAGACAGATGGACAATCAGAGGCGATGAATAGGGTGGTAGAGATGGTACTTCGATGTACATTGACCACTATTCAGAAGCCGGACAAGTGGGAGTCATTATTGCCAACAGTGGAGTTTGTTATCAACAACTCCCCAGCGCAATCAACAGGGTATACGCCATTTTATCTGAATTATGGCTATCATCCCTGTACGCCCATAGATCTCATTCGAGATTATGACTCCACGCTGATGGAAGGAGTCAACGCCTTTGTGGATCGGATGAAGGCAAATTTCTCCAATGCAGTCAATTTTCTGCACAGGGCGCAGGAGAGAATGAAGACTCAATCTGATAAGAGGAGAAGGGAGTTGATGTTCAGTGTGGGGGAACAGGTGCTATTGTCTACTGAGCACTTGCAGATTAAAAATGCTCCCATCAGGAAGCTCAAAAGAAGATTCGTGGGGCCATTCTTTGTGGTTCGTCAGGTGGGACCCGTAGCCTACGAATTGGAACTCCCTGATACATGGAAAATTCACAATGTTTTCCACGTAAGTCTGCTTCGTCCTTTCAGGACAAGTAGATGGGAGCACCCCACTATTGAGGATCAGGTTGAGGAAATTGAGCCGGAGGATGACCGTGAATATGATGTGGAGAAATTATTGCGTTGGCGTTGGCGGGATCCTCATGCCAAGAGGAAGACCAAAGAATTCCTGGTGCTGTGGAAAAATTGGTCTATAGATGACGCCTCTTGGACCCCAGCAGGGAATTTCACTTCCCAGGAGGAATTGAAGAAGATGATTAAGCGGGATCAACCAGTAGAGGATAATTAATATTGAACTGGTTGAGTTCTACGTTTCGAGGGCGAAACTACCCCCAGAGGGAGGTACTGTTAAGGAAATCTAAGGGGGTAATTATTTCCCGCTTAATTTCTGTCATTACAGGAAGTCAAAGACCATTATTGAGGTCACCAGCGATTCTGGGACGCTTGGGCACTTGGGGCCCAAGGTTTCCAAGGGAAAGTCCCTAGTGCTGGACTTCCCTCTTTATTTAGAAGCCTTCGTCCCCTTACAGTACTGTGGGGGACCCTTTTATAATGTTATTAGATACATTGGGGGCGGTCCCCCTTGGCTCCGGTACGTGGGGGAGGACCTGGGGCTGAGTCATGCCCCGTTTTGATTATGTGGCCTCCGGGAAGTTTCTGGATGCTTGACGGGGTATAAAAAGGGCAATTGTATGCCCTTTGTAACATTCGTTTCTTTCGGTGACTGATTGTCAGTCGTGCCCACGCGAAGCGTACCCCGCGGTACGCCAGCCTCGCTGCATCCGCCCCCGTACAGCCGCCTCCGCGCCCGCCGTGGGACGCGTCCTTTGGGCCCACCGCGCGGACCGTACCAGCGCGCGTCCCGACCGAGCACCACCCGGGGCCCGAGGATCCCGGGCCGGGTGAGAGGGGGATCGACGCCGCCGCGTCTCCCCACCGGACGCCGCGAGAGGCCGAGGACCGGCGGCACCGGGCCGCCGAGATTCCGGCGCATTGCGCGCCGTTGCATCCTGTGCCCGCTGTTTCTGCTTCAGGAGACGGTTGCTCAACGCCTTGACTTGGTCTTCGGCGGAGGTTTTGGCCTCTTCTGCCTGGCGGCTCTGCTGCTTCGCCTTCTTTATGGCCACCTTGCTTTCTCGAGCTTCTTTCTTGGCTTTGTTGACGGCGATCTCCAGTGAGGCGATTCTCTCAGCGGTATCTTCATCCCGCTTCTCCCTCACCTTCTTGGCCGCAGTGTCCGCCACTTTCTCCAAGAGCTCCATGATACCAGGGGTCTGCAGCAACGCCGCCATGGTCCCCTGATCTTGCTCTTGTTTCTTCTCCGCCGTTGGTGGGGCACCCGCTTCGCTCATCGGTTCATCTTCCCTTACGGGTGCCGAAGTGGCTGTGGAGGGTCCAGCCTTGTCCTCCCGGACTTGTTCTCCTCCTTGCCCATCCCGGGCTTTAATATCACCAACCGAGGTCGGTGTCCCCTCCCGGGGTGTTCCCTGCTCTCCCGACGCATCGGGGGTACCCTTACGGGCAGACGTGTCCGATTCCTCGGCCTCCATTGAGGAGACCGGGGAGGGAACCCGTCGCTCCGAGCTTGCGCGTCTGCCCAGGCGGAAGCGTGGTCGCCACCCTCAGGTGGCTCCGAAACCAAATGATACGAAAAGTCTATGGGTGTGGGGTTCTTGCCCTCTTTGAGCCGCGGACCCACCTCGCCGGGCACCTAGGTCCCTATAGGGCACCTAGGCGGGACCACCCCTCCTACTCCCATATCCATATAAGTATAATGGTTACCGTGGGACAAGGAATACTATACGATCTTGGGCAGGGCGTCCCCCACACCAAGGACCATTAGTAGGGCGTCCCCCACATCAGGCCGGTGCGCGTAACACAAATTCTGTTGTGGACGGACAGAAGGGGCTACCTCTACCCAAAACTCCTTGTTCATGATTTTTTCCCCTTCCTTTTCTGCATTTCTCAACTTTTGTCACTTGGTGAGTGACATACCAGAGCGTCATGACAAATTCAGCATCTTGGACTACCAAAGAGTGTGCAGGTTGGGCAATACACCAACACAACCTCATGCTGAGGCAAGACATTTCCCAGCACGTATCTTGGGGCCGAAATGCCTGTCCAACGTGGCCCAAAACACAGCCCTATGGCCATTAATTCAGACTCTACCCATAGCTAGAAAGAGGCATTAACATATGGGATCGAATCTGGACCAAGTGATGTGACGAGACGGCTAGCAACACAGCCAGCACATATGTTTTCTCCGCAACATTATTTCAGCTGTGGGTGACTGATGAACGAACGAACACATGCAGCCTTAGCATGGGGTAGTCCACCCTGGAAAGAGCCATCAGGTGTGGGCCCAAGCTTTCGGTTGTGCATGGTTCCTTATAGCCTTTTTCATGCCAGAAACCTCTCAGCCGTGAGCGAGCGGCTTTGAATATAGACACACGCCCAAACTGGGCAGTATCCTTATTCAGAATGCACGGCCCCACCAGAAATTGAGAGCCGCGGTCAATGCTTGTGAGGCAGCTTTTTTGGAAATACTCTTGCTGCATAGGGTTCCGCTCAGTCGTCACCAAGCCCCCCTTGAGGCAAAAACTCCTCTCACTTTTCACGACCAGCTTGCTACACTACTAAAAACGCAAGCACTTGACCAGTTTTTGTTTCTGTTTTTGTTTTTTTCTTTTTCTAGCCGGTGGTTGCATACTCGGGCCATCCCACATTCAGAATGCGTGTCAGATGTGAGTCCCTCGCCAGCTGAGTCATAGGTGATCCACCCAGTGAAACGGTGGCCATTGTGCAGTTGCGCGAACACTTTGACATTCTCCAGTAGGCCAACATTGATACAGGCGACGTTGTGTATAGGCAATCCGGTAAAATTGGCCCCGCCGGGCAGTTGCCACTGCGCAACGTAGACAAACACGGGACGCACAAGCGGCGTCGGGCGCGGGCCCATCGATTCGAAGCCGGGGCGAAGTCATGACATCACGCAATTCCTCACCAGGGGCCCCCCACCAAGCGCACAAACGGGGCGCCGTCCCCCCCTCTTTTCCCCCAATCCACGCCTATCTACAACAGGGCGCTGCAACGGGCCGACTAGGTAGCCGCTCGGCGCGGGGCGCGGACGCCTGCACCGCGGTGGCGTCATTGGAAAAGGGCTTGCTGTTGCTGCGGCCCAATGACAGCGGCCGACGGGGAGGCTGGCGCGCCTGCGCGGCACAGCGGCTGGCTCTTTAGGGGCAGCGACGTCGTGGGCGGGGTCGTTTCGAGGAGGTTCGGAGTGCTGGAGAATGGGCAGTTCGCGACGTATAGGAAACAGGAGGACGGCAAGCCGTCGTCCGCGTGGGCCCTGCACCGGCGGTGCGAGGTCTCGCGCCTGGAGGAGCGGGAGCTGATGATACGGGACAAGGGAAAGAGCACGGTGTTCGCGCTTGTGGCCGGGAAGTACGAGAAAGTGGCAGGGGTGAGGGGGCGAGCCGCCTGACCTAATTGATGGCCGGCGGCATCGCGGCGGCGGGCTGGGAGTGCGCGCAGGCGGCACCGGGGGTGCGGCACGGGCCGGCGCGGCGGATAATGAAACGAAGTGGGTGGGATGGGGTTGCAGCAGGGGGGCCCGGGAAACCTTGAGGCCTGCCAGCGCACCCGGTTGTGCGCATGTGGGGGGCCCAAGGGGGAGGGGGTCTGACTCATCGACCTGGGAATATGACGGGGGTTAGCGCAGATCAAACGCCAGGCCAATTGTCCAGCCCCGGTTGTCGCTGTTGGTGGGTTCATCCTGTCAGCAGGGTTGTTTCCTTGCCTCTGGGCAGTGAGCTGTTGCCAGATGGCCCCATGGGCCTGACTGCTTGCATGGCTGGTTGTGTTGGACTTGCACGGCGGTGGTCGTCTCATTGCGGCGCTTTGAGCTGCCCAGAGGGCGTTGTTCATGGTCCTAGCTATGGTCCAGCAGTATCTGTTGTTCAGGGCTCTAAGCGCCTATGTGGTGTGGCACAGTTCACATTCACTGTTACGTGGCCCCAGAATGCAGGAGGGAAGACTTCCAAGGTGATACTGGGATTTGTAGCCGAGACAGATGCCGCTGGTTGGCAGTGCGCTTTTCTGCGGGCAGTGGAACAGCTTGCAGACGTGCAAGCAGGGCAAGGGCGGGAGCCAGATCTGTCTCCATCGCCTTCAGCAGACCTGATGGTGTGTGCTCCCAAGTCGTCCTACAACAGCTCCAACCGAGAGCTGACTTTTGACGTCCCTGAGACAGATCCCGCCAATGAGGAAGCCGTGGGCACAAATGGAACTGCAGAAACTGCCTCATCCCAGCAGTGGAAACAGATGCAGGTGAAACCTGTCACAGCGCTCCTCTAGTGGTCCCATGTCAGTTCATGGGCACTCTTGCCACAATGCAATGCTGCGTATTTTGGGTCGATGAGTGGGCCACGTAACTTTGATATATAACTGTAATATATATAAGCCTCCAGGTTTGGTGGGCCTCCACTGTTGCTTGCTAATTTGATGCTGGCAAATTCCATTCATGTCGGGGTTTTAAGCAGGGCTGCAGCCATGGCACATTGTATGCAAAAATGTTTGTGCACATTGTTTGCGGCCTCTGCATTCTTGGCTATGGCTGCAGCCACTCCAGGACAGCTTTTGATTTTTGTCTGTTTCGCGGGCAGGTTGCCAGGTCTGCTTCTTCATCAGGATGCACAACTTCATCCAGTGAAACAGGGCCAGAGACATCAGGGAATGGAACCACAGGTACAGTGCCATCTTGTACACTTCTTGCAGAGCTGGATAGTTGCTTTTTGGTTGAATAAATGGGTGGCACAAAGAGTTTGTTCATCTTGTGCACCGATTGTACATGTGGGACCTGCTGATGAATGTTGAAGACAATCAGGAGTTCGCATATCATTGTGTGGGCCTGGAAACATGTAGCCAACACGAGCTGGTGCATGGGGCAGTTTTGTTGCACACAATGCAGCCAATCCTCTGTACTGAAATTGGCGCCGCTGGGCACAAAACACCACACGCCATGCTGCTTGCTCCCTGCCACCTGTTGTTCTCCACTTTATGGAGCAGTTTGTGGCTGTACACAATGTGTGTCCCCTGTCTGCAGTTTCCAGTGGGGTGTGGTCCCCCTTGAAGCATGTTAATGGAGTTCCAGTGCATCATGAGGAAGACACGTCTGACGGTTCTGGAGGAGCTTTCATGGTTTCTGCCATCATTCGGTGTCCACCGCATGTCTGCTTCAAAGCCTTGATGGAAACGAGTGACCAGGCATCCAGTGTGACTGGATTTGCGGATATGGAGCTGCTGGAGCAACTGGATGAAAATACACAGGTTTGCAGCTTGCTTTCCCGGTTCCCTTGGATGAGTGGGGTTTGGGGTTTTTGGACTGCAACTATGTTGTGTCACATTGTCCAGGTACTGCTTCCCTTCTAAATGCTGACGTGAAACAGTGCCTGATTCAAACTAGCCGCGATGACCTTGCTTGCTGCGCATGAAGAGCTCCACAGGTGGATAGAGGCCTGGCCATGTGGTCCTGCTTATTATCCAGCAGCGCTCCCCTGCACCTGAAACACAACAACAGTCAGCAGTGCTTAAACGAAGGCTGGGCTCCCCTGGAAGACAGTTGTAGACCAGGTTCATGAACCCATGCAAAAGTGTTCCAAATCTCCTATCCGGTCTGGCCTATTGCCTGCATTAGTGCTATGCAAAACCCTCCCATCGCACTTCAATCCCACAACATATGATTATCAAATGCGTTAGACACTTGCTGCCAGTGTGATTTTCAGGCGTGCTTTGATTTCTGCCACGTGTTTTGCTGCTTGGCTATCAGCACCAGTGGAAAAGCGGTTGCTTGTGATGTGCATACCTTTCGAGTCATTGTGTGTGGCAATGGCAGTTGTGTTTCCTGCTTTAGCCTCAGAGATCAAGGAGGTATCATGCCTCCATTATTGCAGTCCAAAGCCAATGGAAGTGAGTGACCCATGTGAGATGGTCATGGGAATAGCGCCATAACTGCTCTGCAGGTGCAAATTCCATCAAAACTGTGTCGGTTGTGGATTCCTAGGCAGCAGCATGTGGCCTCTCATTTGCAATGTGGAGAATATGCACACTGTCTGTCTTGCAGATGTTGCATGCTCGGCTAGAAGGAGGTGGGTGGCTGAACTGCCTGTTGGCCCCTAGAGACGTTGTTGTTCAGCGCACTTGGAGACAGGAGGAGGAAGATGGCACATATGTAATCCTGCTGCACAGTGTTCAGCGTCGGATCGCTGTGGACCAGCATGACCACATGCCATCCCTGTGGAGTTGGCTCAGAGCACCAGTTAGAGCACAGGTATTGGCTGCACTGTTGACTCTATGCATCGTGCTCAGTACAGTATGATTGTGCTTTGTGGTTTGTGGTAATGTGGACCAATCATTGCCAAGTTGATGCGAGAATTTAGTATTGTCATGCGCAAGATTTGCTCCTCCAGATTAAAAAAATGAGATTGTGCTGCATGGTATGGTCGAATCTGGTGCTGAGGAATTGCTGGTTACTCTTCAACTGTTGAGCTGTATATTGTGCTGTTTCTCGCTGGAGCTTGCACAACTGTGATGCAAGAATGCTCTGGAACATGGAATCTAAGATTCACCTTGCATAGCTCTGTCCTTTGCTTATTCCAAATGCACACGTTTGAGCAACTGCATATCAACATCATCAATGCTGTAATTGCGTTGCGCTGTCCACGCCTCCTAAGGTGCATGGGAAGTGCTTACTAATCTTGGACCAAGTAAAAGTATTGGGTAATCAAGCATGAACAAACTTTGTGGTGCTGATCATTGCATGTCCACCTGGGTTGTGCATGTGAGTACACTGATAGCTCTGCAACTATCAAGATCCTGTTTCGAGGGCCTGTGGCTATCTATACATTGCAGCTATATCTTGCTACACTCCATGACAGCTTACATCACTGCAGCCATGTGCATTCAATATCTGGGCAAAGTCATCTAAAAAGCAGATTGAGGTTTTTGATGTGCAAGCCGAAATCCAATGCTGATGTTGCTGTAATTCTGCAGGTGTCTGCAGCAGGGTTCACAATTGCACCCCTTAAGGATTTTGGGCAAAAAGAGTCACCGGAGGCTCTGGTGACGATGGTGCTCAAGATGGACTTTGGTGGCATTTGCAGTCAAAACAGCCTCCTGTGTCCTCTCTGTGATCTTTTCGGCCTCCGATATGCCTGGATTGAGTCCATGCTCATGACTGTTGTGAGGCTGCGGGACAGAGTGGAACATGCACGGTTTGTGGTAGGTGGAAGCCTTGCTCCAGAGCTCTGGTGCTGGTCTGTTTGGTTTTCGTTAAAAGTCAGCAGACTCAACAAACGCTGTCTTTGATACAGTATCTTGAATTCACAAGTAGGCAAACGCCACATATGCAGACAGCCAGTACATGCGGGACGAAATTTCTGCACTAATCATATTCATTAATGAGTGCATTGTGCTCTGTGCACAAATCAGCAGATTGAGCTCTTCACCAGTACAGTAGGAAACCTCATTCATGAAGGTCAGCAGTGATGTACCACAGCATGGATTTGCACATCATGGCCCATGGAACATCACAATTCCAAAGAGCGAGTTGATGGACAAGGAAGAAAGAAGAAGTATTTGCCCAGCTTAGTGCAGGAATGGCTACCAGGAGGGGAGAGGATGCTTTGAGTGATGTTGCTCCAGAATCAGTTGCTTTAATACTGGCAACAGGACAACACGATTCTGCCACCCTGCCTCGATCTTGTTATTTGACAAATGGTGATGGCCGTGTCCACAGACTCTTCCATTTTCAGCCAGCAGTGCCATGCCCAATAGGGCTGGGCCCAGGCGAACCACAACTGCATTGATCAGGGACTCACAAAGTGCAAAGCCTGGTGATGCCACTGCAGCCAAACTACACGATGGATTGACAAACGAGGGCGACACAGCACATGTGCAGTGCTTGTCAGGGACAATGGACCCCAAATATTGGGCTCGTCCTGGTGCCGCAGGCTTCAGACTTCGGAGCGCAAACTACCTAAAGGACAAGAAGAAGGAGCTGGCAGATGAACCTATGTTTGAACTGGTATCTGTCGACCTGGTGAAGATAGCCAAGCCGACTCCGCACATTGCAAGATATCTTCCATCCATTCAGTAAGGAATCCGAAATGATGATTTCCATGTGCGGGCCATTGGTACACTTGCATCATGTTTGCGCTGAGGCCAGCAGAACGACACTGTTTTGCATCTCCAGTTGTGGAACTTTGGCTGTGTTTGGGAGTATTGGTTCACCAATGATTATTACATTCTGTATCAGGAAAACTCATGCGAGCAGTGGCACTCGCCTTTCTGTTGTCAGACATCACATCTTGCAAATGTGATTGTGAAATCTTGACGGTCTCGCTTGGCGAATGCATGCATGTGGTCTGCCTGCACCTGTTGATGCTAGATCATGATGATTTTCCACTCATTCGAGCTGCGCTTCTGCAGGTGCTCATCTGCTGCATTCAGCTATGTTGTCCAAATTATGATTCCTGGGCCTCCACATCTGTCCATGGTGATGTCCTGGGGGGCGAACTCTGAAGCCATCCAAGGTCTCAGTGGGGGCGAGCAAGGCAGCAAGAGTGTTTCCGACGCTCGCGACACTGAGTTAGAGACAGAACTATCGCCGTTCGCCTCGTCACTCATGAGGTGCGTGTGTCAGATGTCGCGCCTGCGATCTCCCTTGGGATTTGTAGTGGAATCAAAGCAGGTTTTTGGCTGCCACCAGCACTTTTGTGGAGCATCCAATGAGGCAGCAGTTGGCACTAGGGGTGGGGATATCCAGAGTGCAGTGGCCAGGATGGCGGGGACAATGTTGAGTGGGCGTCTTGCCACCACAGTTTGTTGTAGGTAGTTTTGGTGTCCATCTGCAAAAAAGAACTTGGCTGCTGACGTAGCATTGGGGCTCGGTTGTGTGAATTGCTTGCAGGTTTGTGACTGGCACCGATGAGTATCGCAATGGCGTGTTCAAGTTGATTCCAAAGATCGTGAAGGGCAGCTGGATCGTCAGGCAGAGTGTTGGGAGCACACCTGTCTTGCTAGGGCGCAAGCTCAAGCAGTATTACTTCAGTGGGCGAGGCGTGTCGACTAGGTATATCGAAGTAGACATTGACGTTGGCTCCTCGTACACAGCGGCATCTGTCGTTGGTTTAGTTTCAGGCGCGACGAAGAGTCTTGTCGTTGATCTGGCAATACTGTCAGAAGGAAAGAGGACGGACGAACTGCCAGAGGCCTTAATAGGGACTGTCAGGTTTCAGAATTTGGATTTGGGTACAGCAGTTCCTTTGGACACTTCAAAAGAGTTCGTGCCCCCAGAACCAGATCAAGGCGGGGCACAGGAACGAGCATCAAGAACGCAGGAGATTAGAGATTCACGCTGTTCTTAGGTACGTAGCAAATGGATGGCGGTGGGAGGTGGGAAGCAAGGAGCCTGGCGGGCTGGCTGACCAGCTAACTGATTGTTTCGTTGCCCGCGTAGAGGGCTATTCAAATTTATTGTTTTATGCTGTGTGAAGAATGTAAGGTCTGACTGCAAGGTCATAAATGGATGCGGGCGTTTCAACATGCTGTGTTGCGGCCGTTGCCTGAATATACTTCAGCACGTCACTCTTGGAGTGGGTGCTATTCCCGTCTGCCCGTTGCCTGTTTGCCCTTCTCCAGTTATGGGCGTCAACCTGATGGTGTGGCATTTGCCTCTACTCTGGACCGCCAGCTGTGCATGCAAGATTGTGGAGAGGCGGTGGGCGTCAATGCAGACCAATTGAGGCTGATGGTTGCCTGCGCGGTGAAACATGCAGGCCCAAATGGTACCCTGTTGTTTGCATTGCCTACGGGGAAAAAAATTGAGATCTGCTCGTCGGATTGCGGTTGTTCGCCATGTCTTGCCATCAAAATCATGCTGTTGCACTGCCACTGTATTTGAATCTCAGCCCCAGCACGGGCAGTGCCTCAGTTTTATTGATATTGTCCGCAGTTTCCAGAGTAACGTCACTCTTCATAAAAGCAGGCTGCGCTGTTTCAGAGCCTTGGGGAAGGAAACAAGCCCAGTGCCACGTAGCGATGATATTGCGTTCGGGTTGCTCACACATTATGCTGTTAGAAAATAGATGACAGGCGCATCTCCACGTGTTCCTGGCAGGTTGTCACCAGGGAATGTTCGGGAACAACTATGGTGGTCATTTCCGAATGTGTGGGATGCCGCCGACCACGACCAGGTCGCCGCTGCAGTTGGTAATGAAGCACAAAACGCACCCGGCAATGGTGAAGTGACCGCTGTCACGGTCGTCATATTCACATCAGCCAGCGGTTGACGCGACAGGGAGAAGATGGCGCTCCGGCTTGTCACGTCTGAAGAGTGCAGGCTCATCAGCTTGCCCTTTTGTGGCCATCTCATACGTGCCATCCGCTGCATCAAAACCTGCGACAGCTGTTGAAGGACAATTACTCATGATAGTGGTCACTCTCAGTACACGGACTCGCTGCCAATGTTTCGGTCGACACACGTGCAGCGACCGAATTCGCGATGGGGCGATTGGATAGCTCCGCAGGAGCCACATGGATTCTGTCGCCCGTACGATCCAAACGTGCCCAAACTTTGTGCGTCAAGCCTTGCGTTGGACAGCTAGATGTGGGCCATTCATACCTGCCATATTCACAAACCGTCCCTGCATTGCCGCCCAGGTGATGCACAGGCCTCACACTGGGCATCCCCTGCACTCGGTACCCTTGTTCGCAATGGATGAAACCAAGTTTTGTATGCAGCTAAAATTACACGTTGAGATCAGCAGAGGCCACGGCCGTGGATACACGCTCATTTTGACCCAATCACAGCGCTCCATTCACATTGCACTACATCCACAGCGTGAGACCGACTGCAACATGTTTCCATAAAGAATGAGCCACAAAATCTTGCCAACATCCGCTCTGTACACCAGGCGATGACACACAACCTTGTAGCACGCACGACTCCCGATGGACGACTCGTGTGACGACCCCTCGCAGCCCCGCATTCACCTTGCCGTTTTTGCATGATGTTTCCCCTCCGTAGAAAAGAAACAAGACCACACAGCCGGCACGAAACCATTTCATGGGACTCCTCCTCTGACCAACAATCACACAGAGTGTCATACTCACAAAGCACACCCACCAAGGGACGCACAGTGCCCAGCCCATTCACTACACTCTGCAAACACGGTCACAATGCGCAAGAAGCCTGAGTGGCAGGTACCTTCAACATCTGAAAAAACTGTTTAGGCACTGGCCGCGATGGGCTCATCCTCCTCAGCCCCCTCATCTTCCACCACTTCCACTCCCGCCTCCGCCTGTGAATTCGAATCTGATGGGCCACCATGCACGTCGGCCCTGGTCGCTCTCTCGATCTCTTCCATCTCTTGCGGGTTTTCGTGAAGCCATTGCAGGGTTTTCTCACGACCTTGCGCGAGCTTGACGCCATCCTTGTAGTAGTAGGATGCCCTCCTCTCCACAACACCACAGCTTTCCGCAGCGTCCAGGATGGACCCCGCAACACTGATGCCCGTCCCTGCAGGCAGTTGAGTGGGATTTGCTGTCATAACCAGGGAAGCCACAGCAAACAGTGAAAAGATGAATCAGTGCACACTAGGGTCCAGGACAGGAAGCACAGTGACATGACAGAAAAGCCGTATGCAGATGTCAGCAATGCTATTGAGGTCTCTCTGGCTTACGTATGCTCGCACAATGCACCAAGAAAACACTGAGCATCCAAGGTCACAACTATGCGAACCAGTGTTGCTTGAGGACATTCCCACAACCAATACGCCATGTTGTGCAAATCATGACCGACACTGCAGTGGATGCTACAACACCTAGCAAGACATATTGGAGACCGTCGCTTGGGAAGATTTGACACCAAGATTAACACAGTGATCCTAGCTTGTGGAATACAGCACTATGGCATGTAGGACATTACTGGCAAGGAGTGCTGCAGCACATTTTCTATGGCAGCTGCATCCTGCACAGAGCTCTGCGGCCCATTAACTTCCTCCTGATTGACAACGCATTCGATGGGTGAGACAAAACGGCATCATTCCCCTACAATGCACTGTGCATCGTCATTTCAATAGAAACCTATTGTCCAGAGTGGATGGTACATGACTAGAGCAGCACTAAACTGTGCAATCCAATGTCAGATCACACTACAGATCCTTGATATTTGGCGACATTCTATGAGGCACTAACCACACAATATATCCTATTCTATCGAGCGAAATAATACTTGCAACAGCGATCAGCAGTCAGTTTCACAGCGAAAGGACGAGAAACTATGCAACTGCTGTCTACCTGCCACTGTCCTTGCAGCATTGCAAGGCGTATGACTCTTGTATCCTTATGACCCTAAGCAAGATGCCTCAAAGAAACTCTCAACAAGCGTTGGCACATGCCACTATTGACTATTGGAAAACTGACGAGTTCTCCTGAAATCCAGGGGGTGCAGGTTTGAACCTGCCAAGCAAACTGCTCCTGTTTCTATTGCAGGGCAATGAAACAACAGAAGTTCTCTGGCTGGCTCAGTCTTCTTTAACAAATCTAAGAAACTTGCAATACAACTGGAGACAACACTTGGTGATCCTGTCCATTGCTGCAAACGTACCAAACATGATATCCAGCTCAGCCATTCTGTAGGGTGCAGCACATTTGTTCTTGACAACCTTTGCGTTGATGTGAATTCCAGTTTTCTCATCGCCTTGTTTCAACTCTGCTCTTTTCCTTACATCAACACGGACAGAGGAATAGAACTTGAGTGCTTGACCTCCACTAGTTGTCTCTGGACTGCCGTACAACACGCCAATCTACAGCACGCCAGCAACACGTAGCTTTTCACATGTCCAGGTATACATCAAAAGAATTGCTTGTGCCTGACACCAATTTCAACACAGATGTGCACACTGAGAAACGATGCTGGCATAACCAGCTATGCTAGCGACAAGGCGATCAAAATCAACTAGGAGGACGTCATCCAGATTTGGGACACACCACAAGCTGCAAAAAGACAGAACTGAGGCTGCAGTGGCTCTGCACCACCATGGGCATCACAAACTTGCAGGCTCAGTCCTGCCATAACACAACCCATGTGCATCTTGTTGTGATTTGACATTCACAGTGACCATGAATTGTCGGCCCCCTGTTGTCAACAGTCTCGTCTGGATGTTTGCGCAGCCCTGTGCCAGTGATTCTGTTATCCATTGCACAATGTCCCTATCAGAAGCCAAACCCATTGCTCCTCACAAGAGTTCCCTTATACCTTGTTCCTTATCTGGTTGAGGAATATGATGGTGCAGCCCATCTGAGCTGCACTTGTTGACAACCTTCTCAAAGCCGTGCTCATAAGGCGTGCCTGGGCACCAACTTGTGACTGGCCGATCTCCCCTTCGATCTCAGACTTGGGTGTAAGAGCAGCCACCGAGTCGATGCAAACGAGGCTCACAACACCTGACCTTGCAAGTGTGTCAACTGTGTTCAATGCCATTTCGCCAGACTCTGGCTGGCATAGGTACAGTTCATCAATGTCGATACCAATGGCCTGTACAAAATAGGCACTGTTCAGTGATCAGAGCACTGCCACGCTGGAAAGTGAGCATTCATCCCCTTGAAACATGGAATGCTGTCGCTCACATAACAGCACTGATGGGGCATTTCGACGTGCCAGCAGCACACTCAGCCATGGCACTGCTGTGCGCTTGGCATGGCAACCCCACCTTTCCATAGACATGGTCAAAAGCATGCTCTGCATCCACCAAGCATGCGATCCCACCACGCTTCTGAACTTCCGCAATAGCATGCAGGGCAAGTGTTGTCTTTCCAGAGCTTTCCGGTCCAAAGATCTGCACAGGAACAACAACAGCATGTGTGATTATTGGTTTGCCAATCCTATAGAGCAGTTGTGGCAAGCAACCATGACCGTGCTGGAGAGATGGGGGAACAGGCATTATC